TTACATAATGCATCTTGGTTCTTATTTTTTCCCCATTCCTAGCCCTCCCTTCACCCCCTCCACCCTTCCCTATTTACAAAGACTTTATTTCCATTGGATTTTAAAGTTATAAAAATGAACTTCTGAGTACAAGTACAGCACATCTAAGTGTTAAGTTTATACTTTATGAAGATCTTTCAAACATCTTAAAAGCAATTGCTTGTTTATCTAATTGTGTCAATGTACTGTATCTACTTCAAGGTTAAGAATATTCACGAATATTATATTTCTGTCCTTTTTTTCAGGAAGGCTATAAAGACATGTTTTCTGCTCCAATATCTTTTTGCTGCACTGAACATTTTCACACCTATGACAGGTAAATATCCTGTTACTTTTAATTTCTACGTATGGGATCATTTATGTGAAATCACTATGTTAAATGATAAAAGCCTTAAATGGATGAAAGCATACAATGTCATTACTTTACCAGAATACTAGAATATTAAATATTTTGTAAAAACTCTAATATCCTTTATTCTTATTGGTTACAGATGTAAAGAGTTTTACACAAGGCTTGAGAGGTTACCTGAGAGTGTGTGTGTGTGTGTATGTGTGTGTGCATCCAGTGTTTTCAGCTCACAAATATTTTCTCTAAATAATTTATGGTATACATGAAAAGAGTCACTTTTTGAGTAACATGTCAACCTGTTTTTGCAGCTTGTATAGCTGTGGGCTTCTCCTGGGGCCAGTGCTGTTGACCTTATCTGCTGTCTCTCTATGAGCTGCCTTACCTCTCTAGGCTTATCCTGTGTCAGGAGAGGCAAGTGCCCCTCTGTGGGAGATGGAGTAATCATTCCAGACTGCCTCATGTTTTTTTCTCCATGCTATGTTTTGACTCTTCAGCTTATAAATAGTTTCTGGTCTTCCAATCAGATCTACTCTGTCCCAATTACTGGACATCTACCTGTTTCCTTTTCTTAACCAAGTTGTCTTACAGATGTCTCCACTCCACATCCTGGAGAGGCTGCAATTCTCTGCCAGTCTCTGCCATCTTCCCTTTACTTTTTGGAATGTCACCATTAATTTTATTAATATTCTTGAGTTTGGGGTCTTGTTTCTAGTAGTTAAAATTTCTATTTAATCATTTTCTTCATTACGCTACCCCAATCTTTGGTTCATTTCCTAATTGTTAAATTTTATTTTCTTATCAAGTACTTATGTTTCTTGTTTAATACGTGTATTTATAGATGTAGATGTACCATTTCAGTTTTGGTATGTAGAGTTTTCATCATTTGTTATAAATATTTTATTTTTTGATTACTTAGAAGTGTCTCTGAAATTCATCAAGCATGTTTTACTATACAATATTTAGATTGTTGATTTCTCACTTAAAACAGTATGGTAATACTACAATTCATATTATTGCATTCTTTTGTATATTCTTTTAAACTCCTGAAAATTGATAATAATACAGTTCATATTTTCATTTTTTAAATAAATGCTCAATGAGTACCAAAGAATTTGATATTCATATTGCATTTTAGATTAAGTTTATTACTTTTTGAAATATTTATTTTTTTACTTAATATTATCTCATTTATCATTTTTATAGACTATATTTAAATATCTTCCACTATAATTATGGATTTACCATCCTGTACTTGAATTCTGACATTATACACAATGGTATCAGGTCTTTATAAGTTCATTTTATTACATTCTTTGGTGAGGTTTTTTTCTTGTCATGGGATAAACCTCTTTACATTTAACTCAAATTTTATATATTTTCTGTTTTCTTCACTTTTTTCGAGTTCCTGTCACTTGGAGTATTATTTTCCACCCTTTACCTTTTAGTCCATGAGTTTCTTTTTTTATTTAAATGTGTTTCTTTTATGCAGCATATTGTTGGATCCTGCTTCATGACTCATTTTGCCAGTCTATTTCTTTTGATTGGTGAATCGAGACCATTAACATTGATGGTTATAATTGATATGTATTTACTTATCCTTGTCAGGATCTTTTCCTGTTTTTGGACCCCACACATTTTGCATTTAATTTCTAGTCTTGCCTGATGGATTTATTCTGTTGGGCTTTGTGTGGTTGTGACCCTCATTGTCTTTTTCTACGATATTTTTTAAAAATTTTGGAGTGCTGGTTTGATATTCATGAATTTCCTCAGGTGTTCCTTGTTGTGAATAGGGAGGGGTGGAGGGGTTGAAGTGAAGGCAGAGGATTGGGGGAAAAAGTAAGAACCAAGATATATCATGTAAAGGTACAAATTCCCAATGATGAATGTCATTATATTGCATATCTAAAATGTACCAATAAACTTAATGAATAAACAAAATTATATTTTTGTGGTAATATTTTTGCAATCTTATGTTAGTGTTTGCCTAGTATATCTTTTTTAATATGCTTTGGTTTTGAACTTCTTTAATTGTTTTACATTTTGGTTTTGGTTTTTGGAAACAAGGCCTCACTATGTAGTTCAGGCTGGACTTGAACTCACTATGTAGCCCAGGCTGGCCTCAAATTCATGGCCATCTTCCTGCCTCAGCCTCCTTATTGAAGCAGATTTCTGGCTTTTAAAAAAGTTAATCACTAATGTTAGTTTCTAATAGGTAAGTTTAATATAATTGTCTTCATTTGTATTATGACTGTATTTTGATTTAAATTTAGCATTTCAGAATTTTTGCAGTCTTTTAACTGTTTTTCTTTTTTATAATTTTCCATTCCTAGCATAGTTGATAAATGTTCTGCATGATCTTTCTTTCTTTCTGGCATAAGATCAATAAGTTGTATTTATTATCTGTTCATTTGTCAGTTGTAATACACATTATGTGTTATTTCTGTTTCTCTTACTCTTCCCACTGGAAGTAGTTATTATATCTAAGATTTTTACATTTTATTGTACGTGTGTGTGTGTGTGTGTGTGTGTATTGCTCAGTTCAATTGTTGTGTACATTTTAAAAAGCATACTGTATAAAATTTTACTTTTTCTTTGATATTACAATATTAAAAGTCCTCCATTTTGTAGTGTGTAGCTCTAGAAGGTTTTCTATAAGTACAACATGACTTACATAATCTTTGGTCATTAAGCATTTGGAGATTGCATTTTCTGTGTTTTTTTTATTTTAAAAATTGCCCAGTGCTGCTCACAACACATTATTTTTTAAAAAATCTTTTGCATATAGTTCACAAGTTTTCATATTATTGCTCTTTTTTCCAATATTTAATTATAGGAAAACTCCAATTTTTCCCTAAGTAATTGTGCTAATTTATACCCTCAATAGAAAAATAAAAATAATATTATAATAATTTATCTTGTTCAACATTTGATATCATCACACTTCTCATTCTCTACAAACCAAAATTAGCGCATTCTATTTGTATATTGTAGTCTTGATTTGTATTCCTCTTGTAAAGTTGAATCCATCTTATGTTTATTCTTAGACTTATAAGTACTTATACTTACTTGTAAGTACGGTGGTATCTCGGTTCACGAACTTAAATTGTTTTATGATTTTGGTGCATAGGGCTGTGTTTGTGCTTGTGTGGAGAAGATGGCTGTGGTTGTGTTTGTAACTTGTTGTGGAGTTTGTCAATGCAACCAAAATTTTGTCAAACACTTTTTTTTGAGAACTGAATTATTCACAAACAGAAGCATTAATGAACCTTTATATTACTGTATTTCTTTCAAGACATCTATGTTTATTTCTCATGAATATTTACCTTCTAAAATATTTTTCATGATTTTGCATATTTTATATTTTTATTTTGAATTTATAGATATTATTTTTATGTCAAACAATTTTTCAGCAATTTATATTTTAATATCTTCTCCCAGTTTCTAGATTACCTTTTTTTTCCATTAAGTTTATTGGTACACTTTAGGTATACAATACAGTTACATACAACATTGGGATCTTGCCCCTTGACATGATGTATCTTGGTTCTTATTTTTTCCCCATTCCCCTACCTTCCTTCACCCCTCCACCCTTCTCTAGATTACCTTTTAATGAACAAGAGATCTGTCTTTTATTATAGTCAAAGTTACCAAGCTATTCAATGCTGGTGTTAATTTTGACCTGCTCTTCAGTCTTCCCTACTCTCAAGGTCAGAAAAAACATTCACATATTTCTTTTCAATTTTTTAAAGTCAGCTTTTTTGACCACTAAATTCTTAATCCAGTTGAAATC